ACCTTTCCTTAGGATAAAATAAAAAGTCGGTGGCGACTCTTGCTAACCGCAACATTTGCGAATACAAACGCAAACCTCAAGTCAGTTCTCCCACCGTATCACAGAACTGGCGACTCTGCTGGGGACGACTTAAAAGTGGAGTAACCTTAGGGTTTAGATCACCTTTGTTTTCAATTGATTGTCTTGTTTGCTTTTACATTTGTGGGCTTTGTATCGGAGTTTTATAGATCCTAACCCGGATCTGGGGATACCTTCTTAGAAAGTAGCAACAAGGCTGTGAGGGAACTGTGCGGGGTATACCGACATGGTTGAAACAGTCTGTTACGTTGATGTGGCACTTTGGTGTGTACCGGTAACCCTTGAGTTCAGTCAAGGAGAGTACGGGGCCGCCGCGTGGTGTCGTGAAGCATCAACCGACCTTAGGAACCTTAATTGAACCATCTTGGCCTTTTTAGGGTAGTGAGATAACTGACTTTGGTGCAGTCCGAGGTTGGTTGATACTCGATACTACACTCAATTGAGGGTTGCTTTCCTGGAATATTTCGGTCGCCAGTTCAGTGGCTAAATCGAAACGATGAACAATGAAAGCAATCCAGTGATATTGGGACCTTTAGAACCCGGTTACTTTTGATAGGACAGGTTGAGCCCACCAAACTTCAAGAGGGTAATACCCAGACCCCATGCAGGCCTAAACTCTAAGGGCTTGTATGGCTTGTGTGCCTTACCATGTTTGCCTTTGTGAATATTTATAGTGTATTTAATCATCACATCATTACATCATACAAACATCATGAGCATTGACTAACCATTTCAAGGGTTTCGAATCTTCATATTTGTTCTTGTTTTATAGGACATGGAAACTACTCGCAGAAAGACAATTCAGGTTAGCCTTGTAAAGATCCCTCCTCAGCTTAAGGAACTTATGTCCAGGATTCCCGAGGATTCTTCATTCAGTGAGAGACATGGAAGACTCATCAACTTGGTTAACACCAACATTGAGGAGGACTTGATAAAGGTCCTGTTCCAATTCTTTGACCTTCTGCATCACTGCTTCACCTTCCCGGATTATCAGTTGGTGCCTACATTGGAAGAGTTCTCCCGACTTCTGAAGGTCCCTATCCTTGATCAACTACCCTACAACGGTACGGAAGAGGAACCCAAGCTTGAAGAAATTGCTAAAGCCTTGCACCTACAGTCATCTGACCTCAAGGGACATTGGGAAGTTAGAAGTGGTATCAAGGGTTTCTTAGCCAGGTTTCTGTTTGAGAAGGCCCAAGAATGTTGGAACTCCCTTGACCTACAAGCTTTTGAAGAAGTCATGGCCCTCCTTGTCTATGGTTTGGTGTTATTCCCTAACCCAGATCAACTTATTGATATCAGTGTTGTCCAGATCTTTATGACCAGGAATCCAATACCTACACTGCTGGGGGACATCCTTCACTCATGTTACACTCGAACCATGAGAAGAAGGGGTGTCCTTTTGTGTTGCACTCCTCTCCTGGGAAGGTGGTTTATTTCGCACCTTCCACAATCAGTTTTGAAGAACGAGCGGGGTTTAAGATGGTCACAACGGTTAATGACTCTCACGCATGCAGATATACATTGGTGTCCTAGGTCCAGGGAAGACGTCACTATCATTGATCGTTGCGGGGAGTACCCTAATGTTCCTTTATTTGGAATCAAAGGAGGTATTACCTACAACCCATGCCTGGCTTGGAGACAGTTTGGTTATGCTCGGAGGGATGGCCCTCATGACATGTTAATTCCTGACATAGTTTTCGACTTCGACAACGATACTCAAGGACTTCGTCAGAGATTTATCAGAGCTTGGAGGATGCCAAGTAGGATAGACAGCAAGACATTGGGGCACTGGAACTCCATCCCGTTGGAACCTTATCTCAAGTGGGTACGAGCCCGCTCCCAGAAATTAGTGATGCCTTATCCTCATATGCTTCCTGTGATCAAAGAACCAGTCTTGGAAGGAGAGGCGTCCTACACCATTCAACATCCCGACATGCCCACCTCCTGGGAAGAGATGCAGAAGAGCTGGATCCAACTTAAGGAAGAACGGAATTCTCTTGAGACCAGTCTACATGCTAGCGAAAAGAAGGTCCTGGAACTCACCCGCCTACTGCACGAGGAAAGGAATCTCAACACCTACATCGCGCCAAAGAGGATGCGCAATGTTTTTTTACCTTAAGGGGTTATTTTGTAATACTTGGCCCATGGGGCATTTATGTACTAACGAATTTCTCCTTATTAATATAATGTGTGTTCCTTTTTGTCTACAACAAATTTTGAATATTCTAAATCCTTGAATGCATTGCATACATACGCATTCCATTGCACCATATGCATAGCAGGTACCCTATTTCGCAGGTTGCTTAATTTTCTTCGCTGTTTGTGTGAACAGTCATCATGAATCCAGAATCATCCAGTGAGCAAGCAATCAAGGCCCTTCAGGCCCAAAGTGCACAGTTTCAAGAGATGGTCCTAAGCCTAGCCCAAGGTCAGCAAGAGTTGAAGACTCTACTCATGAAGAAGAAGAAGAAAAAGAGGACTGCATTGTTCAACACCGGACGCCGATTTGGGAACACACTCCACAACGAAGCGGATCCAACCACTTCTTCTACTGAGAAAAACAGTCCCCAAGGGGGAGGAGCTCCTAGTCCCGCAGTCTCCGACAACGAGACGGACTATAACGACGAACAATACCCACCCGCTGCTGACAGATACAAGCAATTGGAGGACCGCTTGAGCACCATGGAAATTCAGAATGTGCCGGGACTGGATTTCGGAGATTTGGGGTTATCTTCTGGGGTAGTCATTCCACACAAGTTTAAGGCGCCTGCCTTCGCCAAGTACGATGGGGTCTCCTGCCCGAAGCTGCATCTGAGGTCGTACGTAAGGAAAATCCAACCTTACACGGCGGATAAGAACCTCTGGATTCACTTCTTCCAAGATAGCCTTTCGGGGTCACAGCTCGAATGGTTTTACCAATTGGATGGAGCTAGCATCCGACACTGGGAGGATTTGGCAACCGCATTCTACAGACAATACCAATACAATTCTGATCTCGCTCCTACGCGTACCCAACTTCAGGGTATGTCTCTAGGAGCGGGTGAAGGGTTCAAAGAGTACGCTCAAAAATGGAGAGATTTGGCTGGCAGGGTGCTCTCTTGAAAAGTTTGGTAAGAAATGTGCCTGGACGCACAAAAAGGTTTGAACTTGTTTGTTTTTGTAATGAACGATAGTAATTTCGCCTTCTGCCGCAAATCGACATTTGGAGACTTACGCGTCAGCACAGAAGTGAATTAATATGCTCTTTTGAAAAAGGGTTTGAAAGAAAGGCCCGAAGGCAAAAGATTTTTATGTATTGGTTGGTATTTTTACTTGTAGATAATAGCTAGTTGATCTCAAGAGAGAGATTTTAGCCATGTCTCTACTTATTCATGAAATGAGTCTTTGAGACTTGAACCATACCAAAGCTTAGAACAAGAGAATAATAAGGTCGAGAAGAAACCCGCTTATCATCTCTCAAACTTAGCCAAGACATGGTTCTTGTCAGTAAATTTCCCCTTTTTTGTATTTTTGAAGTTTTGTAAAAAAAAAGAAATTTTTGTTATTATAAATGCATATGCGAAAAGGGAAAGAAACGTTATAGGGAGACTAGCCTAAACCTGATTCTATCACACTTCATATGATCTATGGGAAAAGATAAATGCGAGGTAAAAATAGAAAGAAAGTATACCAAACGGATACTAGCCCGTAGAGCAAAGCAGAAAAAGCAAAGATACTTGATGTTCTTGCGAGCTGCTAGCACCAACAAAGAAAAGAGTCAGAAACCCCATTACTGAAGCATCTTTTAATGTGAAAATGAATCACAATCGGCATCTCGAACATATCCATATAAAAACCTGCATAAGACTCGAATCTTGACGAGCAAAGTGAATTACCAGTTTCGAGTAACCGAATAATCATGAATTAATTCCCAAAGGAAAAATAATAAAAAGAATATAATAAGTTCTCCCCTTTTCTTTTCTTTTTTTGATTTAACCATTTGAAATAACAATTAAATAAATGAATAATAATAAAAGGAGAAAAAGAAATAAAAGAATTCCAAAACGACGACGTTTACTGTAAACGACCCCTTCCAGCTCCTTTACGCAGAAAGCCTTTCTTCTACATGTCGACAACAATAATGGCGATGCCGCCATGACTCCACCCCTTCTCCCTTGTTCCGATTCAACTTTCTTGCTAACACCACATAACGTCTCTCTCTGAATTCGATTCCTTTGCTTGCTTTCGTCAATTTCTCTTCCTCTATTCTGAATCTAACAACGAAACTTAAGCTCTACATTTCTTCCGATCAAGATTACATGGTGGATTTATCGTTCGCCGCATTTTACCCTTCGCGGTTATGGTACATACCAAGCAAAAAAAGTCGTAAAAAGAAGAAGATTGAGGATTACCTATTGAAGACACGTTGGTAGCGCTTCAGAAATCCAGAGGTGAAGTAATACAGTTATTGTCCTTCTTGATCTTGTCTGCTTCGTCTTGATTCTCTCCTCACTGTCTTCATTTTTTCTTTGGTTGAAGGTCGAACAATGGAGAGTGGAGGTGAAGACAGAGTTTAGAGAGGGGAAATTGAAGATTATGAGAGTTCAGAGAAATTGAGAGTGAATGATGGAGAGGGAAGAAGTTGTTTTGAAGCTGATACAATGATGAAGTTTTGAAACTGGAAAAGAGAGAGTGACTTCGTCCCTTGAAACTTGGAGGGGGTTTGGATTATATAGGTAATTGAGGGAGGAAACGGTTATGTGGGAATCAATCTGAACCATTGATTTGGATAGAGTTTGTTAGGGATTGAAGGGTGAGATTGAGAGTTGGTTACAAGGTGGTTATGCTAGTTGGGAATTCTGTTTGGAGGTAGTTAGAGAGTTATAAAATTGTTAGGAGGAAATTGATGAGCTGTTAATTAATCTTCTGTTTCCCATTCTTCAAGCTTCTGTCCTACAAACAATTCCTTCAGCAGCCAGCTGCTTTAACAAAGGAACATCCAAAAATGGCATATTAGGATACCATTTGTCAGTTAATTCAACTTGTACCGCCTCTTTATTCTGATTAGATAAATTTCCGTTTTGAAGTTTCAGCCTTCCCACCAAGCTTAGTCTTGTGTTGATTGCTAGCGTTTGTATTAGTGTGCAGCTCAGTTTTAAACTTACCCTTGTCAGTACAATGGGCATCTCTTCTATATTTGAATCATTCGGGTTATCAAATTGGGTTTGGCTGGTTGGGTCTAGTTGAATGCACCAAATACATGGCCCAGAACATGGGTTGATTATAAACATCCAGTTTCTCAATAAACTTCTTTCCCATTTGATTAAGGAAGATATCTCAACATCTAGAGGGGACAAACAAGCTGACTCTAATTTCTTTCCACCAAGCACATTTGCAACAATCACCAACAGAGATTGGCAAGCATGATATTCTGCCATGTTTTCTGTACCAGTGCCAGTGAACTCCAGTGATTGATCCTTCCTTGGCTGGTAAAACGACCATCTCCAATCTGGATTAGCTTCAAGAGGGCATCGTACCCTTAAAGAGTTTGATGATATGATAGTATCGTAGTCTTGCAATAAAATGGTTCCTCCCACTTGTAAATTAGAGGCACCAAAAGTTAGGAGACATAGAGCAGATACAACTGATGGTAGAAGTTCCTGATTTATATTAGGAAGCAGTTGGAGATAGAAAATTGTTGAAGCAAGCAACTCCTCACAGCCAATATTAATATCATGTCTTTGTCCTAAGGTATTTTCTACATGTACCAGTAAATAATGCAGGGATTCTAGCTTATATGTTTCTGTAAATCCTGGATATATATCATGGCATCATCATCCGAGTTCAGTCCTGCATATACTAGCCGAAGTATCCAAGATCTCTCTGCTTTGAAATTGACGGATGAACTCCACATAAAGTTATCAAACAGAGGTATAACCTTCATATTCATCGTAGAAGACTGTGTCAAGAACGTGCATATAGCTGCATAATGATCATGCGAGGAATCTAATAATACACAAGATGCCTCTGCAGAAAACAAAGCAATAACCGATGGGATTCTTCGCCATGACTCTTCAATACTGTTTTGAACAGAATTCATTAGAAGCCGGAGTCCCATTACATCCTTCCTCTTTTGGCATTTCTCTAATACATTCTTAAATATAACAAGTGTGTCATAAGCTAATCTTCGTATCCCATGATCTGCAGAAGACATGCTAACAAATGCAATTGCAAGCAAACCTAATCCAGCAAACTCTACAGGCTCTATATATGCTTTAGACAGGCCATGAATTGAGAATTGCAAGATAAATACAGGATCGCAACGTTCTCTGACTTCAACATGAGAAGAATGTATCTTTTTCCTGGCATTGTCAATTTCAATCTTGTTTACAGATGGAACTTTATCAGAAGTACTTCTGTCATAAGGAAAAAAGAGCACTGTTGACACACATATGTCTGGATCAATTGGAAAGTTGTCCCTTTGCTGACTTCTGGTCCATTCCTCAATTGCTTCTGAATTTAACTTTACATTCTGAGGGCATGATCCAGTCAAGGACTCAACTTGTTTCATCACATTGTATATTGCCAAATCAATCTCACTGAGTGTTGCACCATATGAATAACTCAATAGTGCATGAAGCTCTTTTAAATTTATGCCAATCTCATTTTGAGAATCTAAATCAGTTTCACGAGCTTTTGTCCATAAGATTATCCAAAGCAATTTAACAATTTCCAATGGTCCTTTAGAGAGCTTGGTTGTTAGCACCTTGTGCTTCACATTATTTTCTGAATGGTCAAGAAAAGGAATGGCAATACATTTTGAAATGCTGGATACATGTTTCAAAACGAACCAGCTGGTCTGCGCGCTGAATGGAGAGTGGGAGCAATCTGAGAGTGAGCAAGTAATAACTGAAGGTATAAATCATATGATAGCCTCCCCTCGTTGAGCCGAGTTAATATAACCTGGAGGGTTTTCATTGTCTTAGGATCACTTAACCTATAGAGAAGAGCATACTTGAATAATATCTCAAGGAAAGTAATGGATTGTGATTGAATAAGATCACTTTGTATCTCTACAGCCAACTCAAGAATGGTTGTTAACACAAAAACTTCCAAGTGATTATATAGCAACGAAATGCTTGTGCTTTTCCCTGTTCCAGACTGATCAGAGGATAAAGAAAATTTCTGAACAATAAGCTGCCAAATGTTCACCAAAACATTTATGAAATGTATCCTAGATGCTTTCAAATTGTTTTGCATTTCCAGAGAAACCTCTTTCAAATCCCCACCTTCTTCATCATGAAAAAGTAACATTTTACAAAGTGATATCTTTGCGACAACTTGATTGATTATGTTGAAAGACTGGCAAAAAGAATAACTATCAATACATTGACTATGACAGTCCATCAGCTCATCATGCAAGGCAAGTGTGGGCCAAATGGATTTGAATAGCTTCAAACGGTTCTTCAGTTTCAGAGAATCTCCATTAAGAGCAAAGTGATACTGCAACATATTGATTGATTTTCCAAGGAGACTACAATCAGTAAGACAGAGAAGCTCTTGAACAGATGATGGGACAGATTCTCCATACTCTTCCTCAAATATGTCTTTGGACAAAAAGCTCTTCCACTGACTAAAACCTTTTAAAAGGATTTTTGAATAGAAGTACGGGATCTTTTTAAAATCAACCTCAAATATGATAAAGAGGTCGGTAAAAATGATAAAAACTGATCTTCTGAAAGACTAAGATCAAAAACTTCGGCAACTCCAACATCATGATCTAAACTTCTCTTCCCTATGCCCAACAATAAATGCCCAAATATAGATGAATGCAGAGAGTCTAAGCCAGATAGAAGAAATTAGGAGGGCAAAATTTGGGGTGCAACAGCTGCCCCTATTTAATCGCTTTCAACCCAAAGGTAAGATTGGCGCAAGCCTTTCGAACCTTCAAGGTGGAAGAAGATTAAATACAAAAAGAACCCAAAAATTTGCGCTCCGAAGCCAGTCAGGTGTTATTATATATTTTTTGTTTTCTTTGGATTGCAGTGATTAGCTGAGAAAATCTCTTGGATGTCAGGTCAAGTTTAGACATACACAAGAAAGATACCGACCGAAGAAGGCTCTGACGAAGGAATACCAATCGACGATAGATTTTAACAAACGATACCAGCCGAAGCGGGGTTTTGAAAGAAATAACACCAACCGAAGCGTTTTTTTTAACAACTGATACCAGCCGAAGCGGGATTTTGAAAGATACCTGCCGGAGCGGGATTTTGAAAGATACCTGCCGGAGCGGGATTTTGAAAGATACCTGCCGAAGCGGGATTTTAAAGGATGCTAGTCGAAGGTGGACTTTAGAATAAAGAAACCAGCCGAAGGGGAATCTTCATCCAGGAATACTATGCTGAAGGTAGATTCCTAAGAAAAGAACGTCGGTCGAAGGAGAACTTACAACTGCAAAGAGACCAGCCGAAGGGGACTCTCAACAAATGATACCAGCCGAAGGTGGATTTTAAAGGGTGCCAGCCGAAGGTGGACTTTAGGATAAAGAAACCAGCCGAAGGGGAATCTTCATCCAGGAATACTACGCCAAAGGTAGATTCCTAAGAAAAGAACGCCGGTCGAAGGCGAACTTACAACTGCAAAGAGACCAGCCGAAGGGGACTCTCAACAAATGATACCAGCCGAAGGTGGATTTTAAAGGGTGCCAGCCGAAGGTGGACTTTAGGATAAAGAAACCAGCCGAAGGGGAATCTTCATCCAGGAATACTATGCCGAAGGTAGATTCCTAAGAAAAGAACGTCGGTCGAAGGCGAACTTACAACTGCAAAGAGACCAGCCGAAGGGGACTCTCAACAAATGATAAAGGTATGCATATCTGGTCAGAGTTAGATACACAAGAGCGAAATTGATCATCAAGAAACAAATGTTTTAGAATTGCTAGCGAACACAGGAATGAGACTAACCGAAGAAAGCCCCAATAAAAAAATAAGGACGCATTCGTCTAAACAAGGGCGCCAGACAACTGGACTTTGAAGAGACATTGAAAGACTCCTAACATAAAAGATTAGCTAGGCTAACGAAAGGAGGACCTGATTAACGCGGATAAACCAAAACAAGGAACCGACTAAGAAGGACCTTCAAAGAGAACTGATAGAAGGTGAACTCTGCAAGAGAAAGGGACTGGTCAAAGCAGACTCTAACAAAGATTGCCAAAACACACTGGGCTTTTGATAAGTTGCAAATACGTAAGGACTACAAAAAATCCATCAGGCCAAAGGCGGGGTGTTAATTCTTCAAGAGTGGCAATTGTCTGAATTACCACACACCAAGTATGGATACTCAAACACTTGAGAAGCAAGAAAAGTTATGAGACAACTCTAACTCATACTCTAACGACAAAGCAAACGCGGGTAAAATAACCAAAGGCTTATGAAGGAAAGCGCAAACCATAAAGTTACTGGGGAAATGGAGAAATACCAAAGACCCGACTGGTGGTGAATCAAAACAAACTTTGCTGGGGAAACATAATAGAATTACCCTAAGCTTCTTGTGGAGGTAAATCAAATCTGAGCGCATAACAATCTGGTTGCCACAGGTGGGCACAATTGGCTTATACTCATGCATGTTTGAAAAAAAAAATTTATAGCGTACTGCTCCATGCAATGGAAATGCTACGCGTTTTAGTAGATGCAATGTAATGATGCAATGTAGTGATGCAAATGCATTAGGAAAACAGATCAACAATCGACTGTTGAGAAGATAAAGAACTTTCGAATGAGTATTCTTGCACATCTGATTTTCTGGTAGAGAAAATGTAATAATGGGGAACTGAGATTCGAAACCATCAACCTCGGACGATTGATCTCACTGGGGAAGTAACTTCCTGGGGACAACACTGCAAAAATAAAATTGTAGTTCAGAGAAAATCTTGAATTCTGATCAAACTCCCCACTTCACGGGGAAAAATTCTTTATCCTCCGTTGGAAAGAGAAAAGCTTTGCTGGGAATAGAACCTTCTGGCATAGGAATCCTTTGACAAAGATGACTTCTGTTGGGGGAATATAGAAATTCTTAAATAAAAAGAATTCTACTCAGACCATGCTGGGGATAACATTTCTAGGAGGTAAAAGATTCTCACTTGGGGGAGAAACCACATCCCGAGATAGAAACTCCATTAGGGATACCTCAATAAAATCTTCTACCACTGGTAACGAAAGAGTTATGACTGTAATTCTTCATGTATACCTCACCAGAGAGAAAGGACACTTGCTCCATTAGGGAAAGAAGAATAGTTCCACTGGGGAAATTGGATTTTGTTATACGAACATCTTCATGTTAGTCACATACAGACCCTCCCTGATTCATTTGTTGGTATGCATCTTGTCATGCAAGACCAACAAGTATTTGCAAAACAGAAATTGGGGAGACATGCCCCTGTTTGGAATGAAAAACCTTACTGAAGAATATACAACTTGAACGACCAATCACTGGGTAAAAACCGTGATACAAGATTGCTACTTCAACATGCCGACTCTGAGGAGGAATGCCACTAAAAAATGGACTTTAGAGGAGATTCTACAAAAATAAATTGCAGTACAATGAAAAGGGATCAATCAAACTTTAAACAACTTCTATATTTCCAGGGAGAAAGAACAATCTTCTTCCGCAGAGAAATCAAGATGCTTCACTGGGGAGAAAATGTCTCAAAAGAGGAACCCCTTGGCAGATAGGTCTATGTCAAGTAGCAACGGGTCTTTTACTGAGAGGAGGCGTCCCCTTAGGAAGCAATATTCCCATCGAGTCTTGTTCGAGTAAACAAACCCAAATAATCTTTGCGTTACTGCTCATATCCTACTGTGGATAACAGTTCAAGCTTCAACTAGGGATAATAACCTTGACTTAGGACAAAGGATGTCAGTAAATGGACTTGAGTCTCTGATAAGTCAGAGATAACAATCCCGACTTCTTGGCATGATTTTCAAATTCATAGGTCATTTAGCCTGCGCATGGACTTGATCTGATTAACTACATAAGAAGAGAGAAAGCCCTTACATAAATTCTTGCCCCAGTCTGTAAGGCTTTTGCAGAAAAATTGCCTCGAGAGAACTTTTTGAGATTTATACCACCAAGATAAACTGCCCCAGTGTTATGAACTTCAGAATACTGCCCATGGCTGACCAAAGTTGGAAATAACTTCAACAATTCTTGATTGAATTATCGTGCATCTCTGAATTCTAAAAAGATTCTCCCCTAATCAACAAATTCTTAGAGAGATTTATCAAATCTCGACATAACTGCCCCAGTTTGACTGCCCTTTGAGGGATGAAATCCCGACTTGAATGCCTCAAATTGGCTGAATACCTACTCGATGGAGTACTTAACATGCTTTTCCTTGCTCAACAGAGTCTTGACAGATCTTTTCCTTGTCCCATGCTCACGGAGAGATGAAAGCTTGAGGAATTTTTTTTGAAGACAATATAACCTTAGGGTAGTTGGATCATATCTTGAAAGTACGTTATTTCACAACCATACTTCTCGACTTGAACTGCTTCTTTCTCGAGAAAATACTTGAAGCAATACGTCCCTTGGGACCAACTGAAAGTAATGCACCACTGCTTGTCAGAAACTTTAGGCGACCAACTTTTGCAATCTACTTTAGATCATTTCTCAAACCGGTATTCTTTTACTCAGCGGAGTCAATAGAAGATTTGCCCCAGATTAAGGCCATTCTCACAAATGATTTACCTTTAAACGGTAAATGAAGCAATTTGTCCTTTGAGATAATTAAATTCTCATATGATGCTCATTATGCAAACTTACTCGACATTTAAGCACTTGCTCATATGCAAAGAATGTTTATTATAAGAATGATAATTGTAATGCAAAGCTCATGTTTGTCTTGAAGTTAAAAGATTTATATAAAAAATATTTTGAAACATCAAAAATTTGTACAAAAGATAGTAAAAAGATAGAGTGATACCAACTCAAAATTTTTTGCAAGCCTCCCCAGGAGTCAGATTACCGTATTTCTTGTTACAGTGTGCTTTCGAATTAACCCTTGCTTCAGTTAGGACTTTTCAGGGTTGTAACGTGGCCTGGTTCATGGTTTTAGAAAAAACGGATTTAAGGCTCAAAATATTTGGTGCCCACCCATTCTCCATGATGTTCTCTAATCCTAAATTCAGTTAAACTAATATGAGCACTCATCCCTCAAAAGAGTTTACCATGGTTTAGGAAGATATGACAGTCACTTCACCCTTTCATTCTTGGTATTTTGATCACACGACTTTATTTTTTTGTGGAGAATCTTTATTAGGTAATCCCCTTTTTCTCTTTTCGCGCTTTTCGCTTTCTTTTTGTACTCCCTAACTTTTGCCTGGACAAATTCCTCTTGAATTTGATTTTGAAGTCCAGCGGGATGCCCTGACTTTTTCCTAAGCGACTTGTTTTCCATGTTTTGACTTAGCAAGGCTTTTTGTCTCTTTCTTTCATCATTTCTTTTGAACTAG